AAGACAGCTTCATTTTCCCTCAGCTCTGACTGACCAAGTCAGTTTGATCAAGCTGAACAGCCCCCCCACCTCCTCCCGAAGTGCGATTTGGTGCGCAGATGCACATAAGCAGCACTAAAAAGACCATGCAACAATTTCATATTCATGAAAAGAGAGGCTGGGTATCAGCGTGCTGAGGCTCCAACACCAGAAAACAGACAGGAGTAGTAGGTTTCCCAGCGGAAATGCTATATATTTTCTATAACTGGGCAGCAGTAATGCAATAGGCTTGGAAATGGCTGCAATTTGCAGAACTCAGGCAGCCTCCAACCCCAGCACAAAGCATTAAAGCACCCTATGTTGTCCTTACACTGTTGCTAATCTGATTGAGGGCAAGGGCACTTGGTTTCCTCAGAAGATCAAGCAGCATCCTCTAGAGACCACTCTGCAAATACACAAAAAGGCAATGACATTGTCTGTCACAGTCCTCCCTGACTTCCTGCATCTGCAGCCTAGCGGGCTATCTCCTGGGCTGGCAAAATGCTAGCTTGAAATAATGAGATGATGAATGATTATTGACCCCTGGAGACCTGGAGCAGGTCAGCCTGTAGATTTAAGCTCTCCTCTCTGTGCCCCAACAAACTAGACCACTTTTTACGCGCCAAGCAAGATTCCCCAAATGCCTGATGGCTTCTGGTGCCACCCTGTCCTGCTTTAAAGGGGCTTGATTTTTCAGTGGCTTGTGCTCCACACTTTCTGACAACCAGGTCCTTTGAAGACGTCTTGAACCGCACAGCAAAACAACAGCGGTTCTCTTGCTGCTTTTGAGAATCTGGGGCAGGAGTCATTGAGAAACTCAACGTAAAAAGAAAAAACAACTACCCCCCCGCAGCCCAGCTCAGCCCAGCCCTGCATTGGCTGAACCCAAATAAGTTCCCAGCTGTTCTGTACAGTCACTGGTTTCTACTTTAATTTCTGTGCCCAGGACTTGAGCCCTTCATATTGCTCTGGAAGGTTACCACTGGCTGAAAGCATTTGAAGGAACACACAACAGGCAATGGGTCTTGGCCCATTCCCATCACTTAACCACTGGACTTTCTTATAGGTGCTAGCAAATGCAGCATGTCTCACTGCAGAAGTTGTACTGTTTCCCCATCTTTTGAACACAACAAACCCAGAGAAATGCTTAGGAGGCTCCCAGTGCAGTCATCAACCAACTGATCGACTCACACACATATATGGAGTGTTTTATTACACACACTGACATGGGGGGCATTCATCAACTACTGCACGCTCCCCAAAGTCAGCAACAGGCAGACTCAGGCTCCCAAGGACAATAGTTTTACCCTGTTTTAATTCCACTGACATCAGCAGTTACTTCAGTACAAAACCAGCGTCTGTCCCTTTTCAGGATCCACTCTAGGGCTCTTGGACCAAGTCTTTGGAGCTAGTGTCAGAGCAGATCAGGCAAAACCATTCTCCTTCTTAAGTCCCTCCCATCACTCTAAGTTATATTCCTGTTCAGAAAGCCAAAGAATCACTTGACAAGTTTTTTTTCCTCCTGATATTTATTGACTTGCATCTCTTCTGCCCTCCAAAACATGTCTTCAGGCTGAGAATTTAAAATATCCCTGAATTCATTAAAATTATCGCTGTCCTCTGAAATCCCAGCTCCCTTGAAATCAATGCAAATTCTGCTGTTGTTGTCAACAGCGCCAGGATTTCACTCAGAGGATTTAAATCTCCTTGAGAGACTTTGAAGCTCGAAGCCTAGCTTAGCCACCCCTACGCAATTCTTTCATCTTTCTCCATAAGTCTCACCATCCAGCCACTCAATAAACGATGCTGATCTTCTCTAAACTGCTGGGAAGACACTGACAACTCAGAGGCAATGTCATCTCCAGACTAGGCCCTAGTCCAGATATAGTCACGTCGGATCTAAGGGCCTTGTCTGCCAAAGGCTCCCTGCTCATAGCTGCTATTTCTTAGTACTGTGAAGGACTAAGTTGAGCTCATCAAACTGCATCATTTCCGTGCTCAGGGTGAGAGGAACTACGACAGATGTGTGTGGGGTGATCGAGTCACCAAGCCTGCGATCCTTGCAGCGGATGGGGACAGCAGTTAGTTGAGTTAGGAGCAAAATAAAGAACATTTTCAGGCATTGGAAATGTATTTGCTTTGCACGCCATTTGTTTCAGGTTTCACTGGTTGCAAAGCATGCAGATCAGAAAGGATTTTTCACTCTGCTCATTACGTACATGAAGTTCACAGTACCTAACCACCCAAACCAAACCGGGTGGCAAGCCCTGACACGGGGAGGAGTATATGCCTAGGGACACATGCACTGTTGTGTGCACCTGACATCTAAGAGGCCCGTCACTTCTGGAGACACCTGGCTGCCATGTACATGGCATGAGGTTCACACATTTTTGCATACACCCCAATGCAGCAGGAGCGTGAGCCGGGACTGGAACGCTTTATCCACCATTTACTCATGGCTACAAAGACAGCTGCTTTGCTACTCAGCATTCAGATATCCTTGGGCTGGATGCAAAAGGCAGCACTAAGGTTGATAGGGCAATGTTGTAAAGTGTTCCCTCCTTCCTTATTTACTCTGCTTGTTTTGCATGCAGCAGCACAGCAGATTTTTGTGCATATGGCTACTACAAAACTAGCTCTGTAGTTGCCCCTCCTAATAAAAGAGAAATTATGGCACGGGACAGACATCTTTATTGGCTGGGACAATGCTCCGACTAGTTCGGAAAAGTGTGGCTGTGGGCACTGCTAAGTTCATTAAATAAATAGACAATATATCCCAGCGAACAGCAGGTGAGTGACTACCCGACTATATAACCATGATGCAGTGTAATTAAGCTGCACCCTTTGTTTGAAATGGATTCTTTGCTCCAAAAATGGACAAACCCTTCTTTAGCCAACAAGTGTCTGGAACAGCTGTGTGCTCCTGGGCTGGGTTGATAACTGTCAGGAAAAGTCAGCTCCTGGTCTGCTGAGTGAGATAGCCTCTTGCAGTGGGGCCTTTCTTCTGCAGATAGAAAGGGAATTTGCATTGTGATGATATACATGCGATTTGCATTTCTGATTTCCCATGAATTGCCGGACATGGGTATCACTCACCATCCCCGTGGGTGCCCACCTCCCATCTCCTCTGATTCATCAGGGCACCTGGGAAGGAATAGCAGTAGGGAGCACCTGTTACCTTTGGAACAAAAGAAAGATAACCACGGCTGGCGAACGGTGCTCCTTATCAGCACATTCCCAAGTATGTAACAGGAAGGCCAGGATCCAGGATCACAGGCTGTCTTTCATAGATGGGGAAACTGAGGCACAGAGAGCCAAACTGACTTGTCCAGGAGCTGAGCCCAGAATACAGCCCTGGTCTTCAATCTGCTGGACCTCTCTGTCTCCAATGGCAAACCAGGGTAAAGCCAAAGGACTCTGCCCAGGAGTGACACTGGAAGGAGAGATTCCCCCTGACTGCAAGACTCAGCTGAGTTTCTTTTCATAAAAACCCCTTATTTTTCAATGAAAAAAGACTGAAGCAGAAATGTTCACTGTAAACAGAGTTCAGCTGAACTGTCTCACCCTGATAAGAACAAAATAATGCAGCAATTTGACTTATTTCCCCGTTTTCAGTTTGACTTTTTTAAAGTGGAAAAGTAACAATAATTTTTTTTAAAATCCTCAGAAATGTAGGGAAAACTGAATTTCCTATAGGAAAAGCCTCTCCTCTGGGGCTGCTGAAGAGCTTGGAGAGTCAGTCAGCTCTCTTGGGATTTTTGGGAGCCAGCTGCACAGCTAGCAGCTCAATAAGGGCATCCCCATGCTACACCTGACTCAGGACCCAATCCTGCCATCAGACCCGAGTGCTTGGAGGCCCTGAAGTCAAGGCAGAAGCAGGAGGTGGGTTGTGAAAATCCACCCACGTGCTCTCTCCCACCACGCGAACAAGCCATGGGGCTGAGCCGTGACACCGAGCAGACAGAGCCCTGTGGCTCCGTGCACTTTTCTTGAGTGACTCCCTGCCTAGCAATGCAAGGCATTCGAGAACGGGGCCCAGACGGAGCTCACTAATCGCTTTATAAACCACAGGCCTGGGTGGTGTTAAGCGGGTTGGCTGCCCCCCACCAGCTCCTGCCGGGTGGAAGATACGGTTATCAAAACCCTGCAGGGCTGCGAAGAAGTGAGGCAGAGGGGAACTGGACTAATGAGCTTAAAATAATCCAAGCCACTCGCCACCAGATAAAGAAAGGAATAAAATGCTAAGAGACGCAGACCCCAGCCAACTCAGCAGTTGCTGTCTCTTCTGATTAATTGCCAGGACCAGGTGCTGCAAGCGTTGCTGGCAGAGTTAAACCCCAAAGTCGGGATGAGCCACTGCAGGTCTCAGTCCTGAGGGGCAGGCTGGGATGTGGGGAAACACAGCTATGGCAAGAGCCCAGGACACTGATAGTCTATGTGCACCAAGCCGCCTCCCCAAGAGATCGCCTCGTTCCCCACTGCATGGCCCAGGTGGGATCAGTCTAGTGTGAGCCCCTCTGTACAGAGGGCAGAGCCCTCCTTTAAGGCTGATGTCACAGTAACCCCAGCACTGGGCAGCAGCTGGTCTCGAACCTAGGACCTTTGCATAGGGCTCAACAAGCAAGTCCCCCAGCTCGGGCTTTCTTTGCCCCAGAGCTGGCCTTCCTAGCAGACCTGGACAACGCTGGCAAGTCGAAGCAAGGAGCTCGGTTATGCTGGGCGCTCTCCCTGCCGAAGGGCATGAATTGCGAAAGCGCCTCCTGCCCAGCAGATGCGCATACCGTCCTGTGTCGGACCGGTGGAGACTCGCCGCAGATGGCCCCAGACATCTGCTCGGGGTCAGGATGTGCTGCTAGATTGGCAGCAGCACAGTACAGCGGATGCCTGGCTCAGGCGAAAGGGCTCTTATCAGATGCGACTGCTGGAGAGCTGCTGTAGGCTTCCTGCGGGCAGTGACCTGGCTCCATGCCGGACCAGAGGAGGGAGGAAAGCAATGCGGATTCCCCAAACTGGAGCTCCCCATGCCCCTTGTGGCACTCAATGCCCTGGCTCACCAGATGCTGCCTCTCACCCCTACCCGTCTAGCAGCCTTGTTCCCAAAGTGACGGACAGGGACTCCACATCTCCCGTGGCGGTGACTGCCTGAACCAGGCGCTGGCCTCTCCATTTCACTGGCCAGATGAGCCTGTGCTCTCAGATGCTTCCTTACTCCTACAATTAATCCTTCTGCTAATGAAGGCTCCCAGGGAATCCTCCAGGATTCATTAGGAAGGCACAAGGACTGCCCAAATCAAGCCAGAGCTCCATCTATTGCTCCTGTCTTAAAACAGCTGCTTCAGAGGAAGGTGCCAGGAGCCTCGCACCCCTGAGAGGATGCAGCACTCCCAGGAGAAGGCTCCACTTGGCAGCTAGAAGTTGGCTTCTGCCCCGAAGCAGGAGGGGGGGTGGTTCACATATAAGATTTGCATGGTCAAGCCCCAAGCATAGCACAGTGCGTGCTGCCCTCTACAAGGCCCATCAGGATTTGCTAGCCAAGGTTTTCACAAGCAGCCGGTGACTGCAGTGGCCACCCTGCGCCACCTGACTTCAGAGCACAGGATGGCTATCAGGCCCCTAAAGCCAAGATAGAAAAAAAAATCATTTCTCTCGTTTTTCAAATTTTTGCCATTGCTTTTATTTCAAGTTACCTTAGACAAAGTCTAAACCTTAGAAGAGAAATGTCCCCGGATGCCTGGCTGGGAACAGTCAGATAAAACAGCTCGCTCCTACCTTTTCTTTGCATCCGGTTTATTCTCCAGGCCTGCCCTGAGCTAGCTGGGCAGTGCTCTTAGCTACTGCCGCACAAAACTGCCATGTCAGGGTGACAGGGATCCCCAAAACCTCCCACTGCTTTCACAGCTGAGGTGACCTATTCACTCAAACATGCTCATTTTCATGAAGGAGCGTTCGGGCAGCTGCGAACCTCCCGTGTGAGCAGAAGGAAGTCCCAGCGCTGGCAAATTTAATTCAAATCCAAGCCTCTAAATTTGGTTGTCTGGCAAGGCCGGAACCTCCTGCATGCGCTAGGCAAACAGGAAACTCCACGCCACCTCCCAAAGGGGAAAGCAATGGGGCGGTGAGCATCCAATGTCGCTGGGGCTTTTATTAACCTTCAGAAGGGTTTTGCAGCCCAAAGCGAGACCTCAGGGCAACACATTTACCTAGATGCTTGCAGCACTGCATCTGAGCTTTTTTTTTTGCCCAGGGAAAGCTCCCTGCAACATAATGCTTGTATAGAGGTAGTAGCAGCATTGACACGATGCTGGGGATAGTCTGAAGCAGAGAAATCAGGGACCAAACCATTACTCGGGAGTTCCTCTGCCTCGCTGGCATATTTGTGACACTGCCTCCGCAGCCTGGAAGAACGGGAGCTCGACACAGCTACGTTTCAGAGCTGCCGCTCGTTCATTTGGTCTGCGCAGAGGGTCTGAGCATGGGGCTCGGTGCCAAGCAAGATCAACATCTCAGCGTAGACGGTGCAGCATGGGCAACATACAGAGCACCACAAATGCAACCTTTTAAGCCATTCCCACTACAACCCGGCTCTCCCGGATGGAGATTCTTTACAGTCACAGCGAGGACAGCAGAAATGCCTCTGAGCAAGGAATATCTGCGGCTAAATTGATTCTAGGAATTCAAACTGTGGTTCCAAGGAGGCGAGATCTCCTGGGGGCAACGTGATTCATAGCACTGCCAAACCCAATGCACGCAGGAGGGCTGCCGCTCTCACTGAGCTAAGAAAACCAGCAGCCTATGTTTTGCTTGATAGGGTCTCTGAGAATTCATTGTGGGCAGCACAAGCAACACGCTAGATTCTTGCTAGACACTTGGATAATTGTTACACAGAAGGTGCTGTCTACATCCCTATCATCCTCTGAACGTGGAAACCGTTCCTTCAAATGGCCGTCCCCTTCACGGGTCAGGTTCCTTCCCACCTACGAGCATCCTCCCTCCTTGCCTTGCCTTGCCTTGCCAGGGGGACCGGAGCAGCAAAGGAATGCAGGTTTCCATTTCTGCCTTGCTGAAAGAGGCGAGCAGCCAGGTCTGCAGTCACTGGATAGTTATACACAGCTAATAAAGTGCTGCCTTGTTTGATGGATACCTCTAATTCCTGCACACCAAGGCTCCAGGCCTGTCATTAGATACCAGTGGTGCAGTCTTGGCATTCATGGAGCCTCCCCGGCTTCATCAGGATGTCACTGTTATCATGAGTTCACCTGTGTGAATCCAGGTACCAGATGAGGGCTGCAGCATCAGGGGCTTTTCACCTCCCTGTTCTTGATTCATCTGGTGCTCTCTCTTCCCTTTATGTCCTTTGATGAACCCTGGTGTCTCTTGATTGTGCCTGAGCTGAAACACTAAAACCCTGAAAAGACAGGAGGCTTGTGTTACTAACACCCCAGGTTGGGAATAAATTAGTGATGGCCAGGATAATGAGCTCTGCTATAGCTTTTCCTTCCACACAGGACAAACCCAATTGCACACTAATTGCATAGATCATCACTGGGATTTGAGCTCAGGGTCTTTAGCACCAATGCACAGACTGCAACACTAGGTAATAGGGCAACACCATCAGCTGGTAGTTGCATGCACTCATTATTCTCTGGCTGATCAGCCCTTTGCTGCCAGGTGACCCGCACAGGGCTTGGCTCTGCCCTGTACTGCTCCACACATAGTCAGTTAGGTCTGCACAAAAGGGCAGTGATGTGCTGCTGAATCTGAGTGGTAAGGACTCATGCCTGCTTTGTACCGGTGTGAAGGGCCAGGGAAGTCTGGGCAGTGAGTCAGCTGGGCCTGATTCTCACTTGCATAAGGGCCATGCTACACCCTTCTGGTTCTGCGAAGGGGCCCTGGGGTACAGGAGACCCAAGCTGTGCTGTCTTGCTTTTCTGATTTATCAGCACAATCCGAGAACTCTGAAATCTCTCCTTGGCCTCCGTCTGCTGTTACTTTATCTCTCTGAGGCTTGCAGGCTTGTACCTAATTGCTGCTTAGTCATAGCCTGGGATTCCAAAAGTACATGGAAACGCTGCAAAACATGCTCCTGAACAGTGCATGTGCTCTGCACCATGGAGCAAAACCTTGCCAACGTGTCTTTCTTTTTCAGGGCAGCACCAGTAGCCCCCAGTCCTCATTTGTCCAAATGTCAGGTGAGTCTCTCTACTCAACAGTGCATTATTTGAGGGTAACAATCCAGTCCCATCTGTCCTACAAAAGGATGTTAAGATAATACCATGCAGGGCTGTGATGGAGACATTCACCGCTGAAGGTGAGCCATTGCAGGGTTAACCCAGAAAGGCAGCCTAATGTTGTTTAAACCCTTATATAAATTCCCAAAGGGAGGGCAGAGCCAGCAGAGCCAGCTCCCGGGGCAAGGATGGTATCAGACGTAGGCACATTAGGGTCAGGTCTGGCTCTCGGTCTCTCTGGCTGGCAGTTCCCCAGCGGACAAACAGGCCTAATGATGCTCCATGGCCTGTCTTTTCCAGCTAGGCTCCTGGGTCTTTGTTTCTTGGGCTTCTATGGAGGGGGCTTTAAAACCATTAACTCCCCCATGCCCAAAAGGGGCATGAAAGCAGACTGATCCCCAATTTAGCAGTTTGCCTTACTGAGCAGGCACATGGTATTGCAGTATACCCATAGTGGGTGTGCTACAGGGTGCCCATTACCTAAACAAGGCATCCCTGAGTCTTACAGGGGAGAAGAGGGAGGCAAGGTTTCTCATCTTTAGCAAGTTCTGGTGTTACTTGACCTGAGGCAGGAGAGAGGAGGTTATGCTGGGCTTTGGGAGCAATGCCAGCATTGAAGATCAGGGGCTGAGGGCACTGGTTTAGGACAGGATCCTCCTGCTCTGGGCAGCGGCTGCCTGCTTTGCCTGATGGAGGAGTGGGGGAGAGGGCTGCGTGCATCAGCTCTGGGGCACTGTGCCTCACATTTAAACTGTGACCCCTTCCTGCTCTCCCCACCTGCAGGTTCCCCCACCCTGTCTGGCTACTACGGGATGAGGAGACCATTTGCCTCCGAACTGGACTTCCACGGCACAAAGCAGCTCCCCAGCGAGGTCTACGCATCCCCGCTGGCAGCAAAGCCCTTCCCGGGAGACTCCTCTGCCGTCCAAGGGTACCCGCCATTGCTGGACCCCTACTTCAGCGACCAGTACGGGGACTATCGCACCCCGCCTGGCACCAGCTCCCTCTTTGGCACCTCCTCGCTGGCCCCACTCCTGCCGCCCTTCCCCAACGACCAGGCACATTTCCTCATAGTGAGTGTTTGCGCTGGTCCTGGCTGAGAGCGGGTGGGCCACGGGCTTCCTCCGGGGGAGCATGCGCCGCGTTGGGGAGTATCTGGCATCGGCCACAGCCTGGAGACAAGGCTGGATGGATATTAGTGAGACCCTTCCAGCTCCGTGGCGGGGTTCAGCACCGGGACAGATTCTTGGGCTGGCGCAAGCAGGGAGGGTCCTGCCCAGATGAGATGTGACCGAGGGCCCCCCCCATCCAGGCTGCAATAGCAGCCAGTGCTGCTTGGTCCCTGCCTCCTTCTGCCCAGCATGGGAGGCACTGACTTCTCCTGGGGCTACTCAATCCTACTCCTTGCAGGAACAGCTGATTGAAAGTCCTCCTGCCCCTGCCCAGGCCCACAGCTGCTGTGTGGCCTCTATGAGCCCGTGTCCCCCCCCACCCCGCCCTCTTCAAACCACATCAAAATGGTCAACAGATGTAGCGCATGCTTAGCCTTGATGCCAGCCAGGGGATTGCGCGTGGGCGCTGAGCAAGCCGTGACTCTCTCCCCACATTTCTCACAGAGAGACTCCTGGGAGCAGACCATGCCCGACAGCCTCAACCCCCCGGACATCACCTGCTCTGACTCCCTGCAGACGCTGTCGACCGCAACCAGCTGCCTCCCCCATGAGAGCAGCGGCGCTTCCCAATACAGGGGCTCGAGCTGGAGCTCCTCACTCCCCGGAGCCCAGTCCTACTCTCTGCACGCTCTGGAGGATGTCCACTATGCATCCGGGTACCCCGGCACCTCGCCCTACTCCTTCCCATCCTTTATGACTGTACCCAATGACCTGACTCCCAAGATGATCCATCTCTCGTCAGACGAGGTCTCCGATACCACCTCCCTTCACGACAACTCTTCGTGGGGCAAAGAAGATGGGAGTCCGGTCTGGGGAACGTATGAATGCAGGCGAACCTACTGAAGGAGGGCGCTGGCATGAAAGACGACTCAAACTGATGTACTGCTTGTAGGATCCGACCTGTAGTCGGTCATTCAGCGCTGAGGATAAGGAACTTCCTTAACAGGCCTGGAGGCAGGAGTGCTAGGAGGGGTTTCAAATGAAGGACAAGGCCTGTGTTTGAAGCAGCATGTTGCTTTCTGCTCTGTTTAACTATATCAGTGTCAGGGTTCCTGGGTAGCTGATAAACGGGGTCCGTGATCCACTACCCACTTGAAGTCAATGGCATTTGTGAGCTCAGGCTTAGGCCCAATTTGGGAAAGGGGAAACCTTAAAGATCTGCGTGGTCATGGCGTTCTCTGGAGAAACGGGGCTCGGGTGCGGCTTTGTAGTGCTGGTGACACTGTGTCTGCAGGGACTCGGCAAAGAGGGCAGGGAGCCTTTCCAGGGCACTTCTGTCTTGCATAGTGCTCTCTAAGCAGACAGAGCCGTGACCTCCAAACCCCACTGCCCTGGCCTGGGGGATTGCTCTGGGGGGGCGGTCACGAGGAGCTTTGTTCAGACGTACTAGGCCATGACAAATAAACCGGTACAACCTAAACCCAAGTGCAGAGCACTGTTTAAGGGAGAGCTTGAGGCCTTGTGAAGGGCAGCCCGGCTTCTGTTGATGTCTACCGACAGTGTGAACTGACTTCTGACAGGCCCAGCTACCCACTGCCATAGGCAAACACATAACAAGAGAGACGCCCCACTTCCAGCAGCTGGAATGGTCCCCCAACACGTGAATGGTCAATGCACTTCCACCGGCCTCTGCCCAGCTGCACAGACCAGGGCCCACCTTTCTCCCCAGGCCAGAGGCAAGAGCGCGTGGCAGGGAAATGGTCCTGCTCTGCCACCCAACAATGCGATGCACAGCCTCTTGCCAAAGCCTCTAGCTCTTTCCAAGCCTGTCCCCTTTGCACTGCTACCGCCTGCCGGCGAGGTGGGCATCAGGGCTCCTGCGTGACCGCTAGAGGGTGCTGCTCCCACATGCAAGAACCACGCGTGGCCCTGTGCACAAGGCGCGAGCCCCGGGCTGGGTCAGCAGCTGCTTCCAGCTGCACCCAGCAGTCGTGTGGGTTCCTCAAGCAGCTGCTGCCCCTGGGAGCCATACAGCCACAGGGAGTGATAAGGAGGACAAGGGCCGAGACACCAGCTGCTTTGCTCCCAGGTGCACTGTTGGCTTTACAAAAAACACTCACCAGACCAAAGGGCGGGCACACTCCAGCAGACCTGCACCCTGGCTTGAGGCATGGGGTCATCCGCACCCCGTCCTGATCATCCTGGGGGCAGGCAGGGGGGGCAGTGCTGCTCTCCTCCACACCAGCCAGCAAGGGACACCCTCCAGGATCTCCAGCACTCTTGCCCTTTGCACCCTGAGCCCCCCAGCCTGGCACCCCTGCTCCCGTGCAAGGGAGTTGCTTGCTACAGGGCTCAGCAACCGGTCTCGTTTCATCTGGGCAGCTGCGGCCTTTGGTTCGCAGGGCAACCCCCCAGCAACTCAGACATCTCAATCGGGCCCAAAGAAGCCCAGGCAGTGCCCAGCACCCTGAGATTTCCAATGGGCAGTGCCCTCCCCTGGCAGCCGGCACCAGCAGCCAGAGCTCTGGCTCCCTCCTGTCAATCTGCCACACGACCCTGAAGGAGTATTTTAACCGTGGAAGTGCCTGCTGCTGTGGTCACAGCGGCACTTTGCCCGCAGCCCCTGCTCTCCAGCCAGCATCTCTCCTTGGTTCTGCAATACCTTGGGTTTTAAATGGGGTCTGCGCGGTGGCTGAGACATGCTGGTAACAGAGCCAGGGAGCCTGCACGGCCTCTACTGCTGCAGGCTCCCCCAAAACCCAGCAACCCTGGAAAACCCTCCCCACGGCCCATTGCCAAAGGATCGCCTGCCCTGGCACCTATCCTGCCTTGCAGAACACCACATAATGCAAACGAGCGCCTCACAGGCTTGGTCCTTTTGTTTTATGCCCTTAATGCACCCGTTTCCTCAGTGCCCCAGCTGGTGGGGGGTCCTTATGGGGTATCCTTCCAGGGTGCACTAGTTGATGAGGGGGCCCTTACAGGATGTCCTTACAAGGTGCATCAGCTGATGGGTGTCATTTCAGGGGTCCTTATGGGGCACATCAGCTGATGGGGTGTCATTACTGGGGTCCTTATGGGATACACCAACTGATGGGTTGTCATTATGGTGGGCATTACAGGGTGCACCAGCTGATGGGGTGTCATTATGGTGGGCATTACAGGGTGCACCAGCTGATGGGGTGTCCTTATAGGGTGCACCAGCTGATGGGTTGTCATTATGGTGGGCATTACGGGGTGCCCCAGCTAATGGGGTGTCCTTATGGGATGCACCAGCTGATGGGTTGTCATTATGGTGGGCATTACAGGGTGCACCAGCTGATGGGGTGTCCTTACAGGGGTCCTTGTGGGATGCATTAGCTGATGGGGTGTCCTTATGGGGTGCCCCAGCTAACAGGGTGTCATTCCGGGGTCCCCCAGCTGCCGGGGTGTCCCTCTGGCCTCATCTGCTCAACAAGGGTCCGCTAAAGCACCCGGCTGAGCGAGGCGGGGCTGGAAGGGCACTGCCGAGGGCATCCACCCCCACCCCGC